AATCTAACTGAACTGAATTTAGAAAATCTTCCAATGAAAAAACGGAGGCTTCTGCAGTACAATATAAGTAGCAGGATTTGAGGTGACTACAATTCCACTCTATGACAGAGGCATTGAAATTTTCACACAGAGAGAGCAGGTTTAAGTTCTAAGGCTAGAGTATGTACTACCCAGTGAAGGGAGCACAGAGTTGTGGGTATGCCCCTTGCTCATGAGGATTGTTGGCACTCCTGCAGAGTTGTTGCTTTTGAAATGACCTCAAGACATGGAAGAGATTTACCACCCAACTTTCTGTCTTCCTCAGTACCTGACCTAATGCTGGATACAGAATGAGTTCTAAAAATATTGTGAAGAGCCTGTACAATTTGGAATCACAAGATCTTTTTTATAGTCATGTGACTTTGGGCCAATTACTCGGTCTTATTATATAATTTAATAAATAGAAATAATAATTATAATAATACCATCATAAATTCTTTTCAAAGTTATTATAAAGATACAGTGAAGGGACTATCTGAAAATAATGTTAAAAATAACGGCCTATAGGGAACCAGCAGTTAGCGTAATGGCTATGTCGCTGAATTCCCATGTAGTCAACCACGGTTCGCATCCTGGACCCGGTGGCTTAGAACTCACGCCGGGCGCATGTGCGTGCGTGCCCAAGATCCTCAGAGGAGAATGGAGGAGAAGGGATTGCGGCGTGACCATCACCCCCTGGGGGGTGATTTCTCGCTTTCTGTCTCTATGGCTCTCTCTGTCTGTCTGGCAAGCGCACGCGCCCTATAGCGAAAACCTCTCAAAATAATAATAATAATAATGGCCTATGTAGGTAGGCTGGTCAATACATAATTGTGGTTAATAAATAAATAATGACTGACTGAAATAAATTCATGACAAGACTGGCAGTGATAGAATTCGCAAATAACTTGATGAAGTGACAGATTTAAAAACAGATTATGCAGAGACCATTATGGACAGACAGCAGCCCAAGAAGATCCTTGAAGGTATGCAGGTAAAGCTATGGATACACCTGACCCAGAAACATGACTCTATGTTTAATAGCAGTCAAGGCAAAAGAGAAGGCATTGTGTTCCTTGTTATTTGAGACTTAAAGAAAAAAACAAAGTTTGCTTCTCTTATTTAGTTATTTTATTTAATGTTTTTATTGCCAGTAGGTACATACACTGGCTAAAGGAGTGAGGAAGCACCTCATGTGGTCCATAGTCAAGCCATAATCCTTTCTCCTCCATTCTTCCTTCCCATCAGGATTTGGGCAAGCACACATGTGCACACACACACATACATGCACACACTCACACGCACGCCTAATGTATTTTTCAAGCTTCCAGGGCCAGGATTCAAATCACGGTCAGTCGTGTGGGATCTGGCTCCCTTAACTATTGAGCGACTAGGCTGGCACAATATTTGGATTTCTAAATGACAATATCTTTCTAAGTCCCATGTTTTCTGGCTGATAATCACTTTTCTTCAATTATTATGACTAGACAAACTATTATACCAGAAGCATAGAGCAAGCAGAGGAGACATTTTGTAATTAGCCCTTCAGATGACAACAAAGAAGTCTGAAGAAACTTAATTAAGATATATTGCTTAAATTACCCCAAAAGACGAAGGACCAGAAAAATGAATTATGTTTTCTCTATGACTGGTCATGCCCCA